CAAGAAATCATGGCCAAATCTGATGTCATGAAGCTTTCTCCTTTGTTTTCTTCTAAGATCTTTATAGTTTTTGGCTTTAGTATTTTTATAAAATTTTCTCCATAGTTGGGTCCCTGATTTTAACTTTGAGATGTAATCTCTATAGGGGTGAAATTAACAGTGAAATAGTATACTGAAGACATGGTAGAAAATACCACATTTTATTCTTTTTAAGCCTAGGCATTTTATAGACTCTTACTGAAAGAAGTTATGAACTGAATGGGATCAGTAGCTTCATTAAAAGTAGATGAAGATTGAGACTCAGATTTTAAAGGAACTTAAAGATTTTATAATTAGTTGCTAACACTTTAAAAGCTTTCAGTAAAAATTATCTATTTTCTCATGTAATAAAGTATAACTCACCTTTTAGTTTCTTTAAACATAATACTGTTTTTTATTTTGTAACTAATCATGTAGTACAGAATGCGAAAATCTCTGGACTGGGAGTTACGAGCCCTAGATTTTAATTCTGGTTCTGCCAAGATTTTTATGATGTTTTAAAATGGGGTTTGAAAGTGGCTAGTGAGGGGTAGATGGTTAGAGATCTCTAATATTCCCTGTAAGAATCAGTTGATTCTGTGATTTAATGGCTTGATTTATATCAAAACTACTGAATTTAAGTAGTGGTGGGAAAAATGTTATCTTTGAGTGGAAAGGTACCAGCACTCTCAACTGAGTTTTAAAATAATTAATTTTTATATTGTATGTAGATCGGTTATTATGTTTTATAAAGTTTTGCTAGTTAATTAGCATTTTCTTCACATCTAGATTTGCAGATGATTATAAAATTGCTATTCAGCAGACTTATTCCTGGATTACTCAGACTGATATTTCAGATAAAAATGGGTTCTTTGCTCTACCAAAAAATAAGAAACGTTCACGACAGAAAACTGCAGTTCATGTGCTAAACTTTTGGTGCTTAAATCCAGCTGTGGTAAGCTCATTATGTTGTAAAGGAAAATTTTGTCTTTTTGCCCAATACCAGCATTTAAATGAATATGATTGATTCTTTTGAAGATAATTTTATATATCTAATGTTTCCTTTTAGGCCTTTTCAGATATTAATGGCAAAGTTCGGACTATTGTTTTGACATCTGGTACATTATCACCAATGAAATCCTTTTCTTCAGAACTCGGTGTTACATTTACTATCCAACTGGAGGCTAATCATGTCATTAAAAACTCACAGGTTAGTTTTTTTTTTTGTTTTTTAAAGCAACACCCCTTTATTGTTCCGCAGTCCTCCAGGTTAGTTTTTTTTTGAGGGCCTTCAGTCTACCTCAGTGTAATCCTATGTAAACAAATTTAGAAGGTACCTGAAGTGCAAGCAAACAAACTGATAGGAAGTTCAA